ATAAATCCCTCATGGTCATGGTGCACAATTCTTTTATATGTTTCTGTATTTAATTTGCTAACATTTTATTGAATATTTTGCATTTGTATTTATAAGAGATATTGGTTCATAGTTTTCTTGTGATCTTTGGTTTTGGTATCAAATAATACTGGTCTTATAGAATGAGTATGAATTGCTCTTTTCTGTTTTTTTTATAAGAATGTGAAAAATTGATATTAATTCTTCTTTAAATATTCGTTAGAATCCACCAGTGACGCCATCTGGGCCTGAGTTTTTCTTCATGGGAGTTCTTTATTACTAATTTATTATTATAAGCCTATTTGATTTTCTATTTCTTCTTCATTCAGTTTCAGTAGTTTGTGCCTTTCTGGGAATGTGTCTATTTTAACTAAGCTGTCTAATTTATTGTGAAGAAACTGTTTATAGCATTCCTTTATAAATCTTTTTATTTCCATAAGGTTAGTAATAATGTCCCCTTTTCCATTTCTGATTTTATTGAGTATTTTATCTTTTCTTCCCAGTTAATCTAGCTAGAAATTTGTCAATTATGTTGAAACTTCAAAGGACCAACTTTTGGTTTTATTGATTTTTCTCTATTTCCTGCTCTCTATTTTCTTTAACTCCTCTATAGTCTGGATAGAGATATGGTGAGCTTGAAAGGGCGAGGGGAGGTCATACTTCAAATGCTACAGACTCTCACTGTTCTTACCAAGTTTTAGTAGATTTGATTGCATATAAATGTTTTCCCTGGCTTTGTGCCCTTAGGATTATTTCCAGAGCCTTTAAATAGTTAAAATTTGTATTATGATTTTCATGAGTTTCACTGGGGAGCAGGTTTGTGGAGCTCTTCGTGTTACTATGGAAGTAGAAGTCCTTAGTCTTTTTATAACCTAACACTGAAGTGACATATTCCATCCATCAGAAATGAGTCAATAGGTCTGGCTCACAATTAAGGAGAAAAAGTTACACAAAGGTATGAATACAAGGAGACGGAGGTTAATGAGGGGTCATCTTAGAAGCTGGAGAACACATATTTGAGCAACAAGAAACATCTATGAAAATTGGCCACTGGCTGGTCTATAAATTTAAGCCTCAACAACTTTCAAAAGATAGGTCTTACACAGATCATGTTCTTTAACCCAAAGGTAATTAAGTTAGAAAAAAATACCAAAAGGAAAGGAAAAATGTGAAAATTACACAACACACATAAATAGCATGGAGGTCAAAGATAATTTATGAAATGAACAGGAAACTAACTTAACATCAATGAAAACACTTCGGATTACAACCTATATAATGTAGCCAAAGCAATTCCTGGGTGGAAATACATAGACATTAGTTATAACATTACAAAAGAGAAGACTAAATGAAAATTAATAAAGTAATTAAGTTAAAAATACTTTATAGAACAAACCTAAGAAGAAAATTATAATGATGACAGTAGAAATTCAGGAAATGGAAAAACAGAATTGAAAGGACAAAAAATATCAAGAGTTGATTATTTGAAAAGTCTAAGGAAAAGTGGGATATAACTACAGATCCTACAAAGATTTTAAAAATTACCCAGAGAGTATTTTGAACAATATTATTATGCCAATAAACTTGAGGACTTTATGAGATATACAAATTCTTACAAAACTATAACCTACCAAGCTGTACTTCAAGATAAAATAGAAACCCTATGTGTACCTATAACCATTAAGGAAAATAAACAGTAGCTAAAAAATCTTCCCCCCAAAGCAGATATTAGGCATACATGGTTTTACAGGTCATTAGGTTTTACTAATCATTCAAGGAATATATAGGGGGAAAAACTCACTTCTTGAAGCTAACATAATTTGATACTAAAACTGACAAGGAGAGTTGAAAAAAAGAAAATTATAACACTATTCCACATTAGCATACATGCAAAAATCCTAAATAAAATGGTGGCAAATTGCATTCAATAATATATTTTTGAAAAAGAATTAATCAAGACCAACTTATATTTTCCAAGAAAGAAAATTTAAAGAAAAAAATATGACTATTTCAATCATTCATCTTTGAATTCTTTGAACTTAGTGGAGCCTGGCATATAGTAAGTCCTGATTGAATGGTTGCTGGTTGATTGAATGAATGAATGAAAAAAAGAATGGTTCAATCTTCTTGAAAAAACAGCAGATGCTGGGCATGGGCATGGTGTGGGGGTGTCTGGTATACCTTTTGAGTGCAAGACATAACCACAAGAGGCCTCTACTTTAACAAAATCCAATATTTTGACCTGGTTGTACCCTCACATTAAACTGAAATAAATTTGTTTTAAAAAATTAGTGACTGGGTCACCTGCCCAGACTAAGAGGTCCAGGGTGAAGTTAGCATGTTAGAAAGAGAATAATATTTGGGAATGTGGCTGCAAGACACCAAGAGATGAATGAAAGAGTTCATGAATAAATTGCAAAGTTCAATTTGCAAATATATTAAAATAAAATACAGGAATAAATTCCTTTACTACAGTTGAAATACTGGCTTAACCATGCAACTGATCTATATGCAAGATACTGTGAGTGCTTTAGGGCTGCAATTATTAATAATTAACAAAGACTCAAAAAGAATTTATTACATGTTGTGAAGGACTATCAGCCCTTTACACCTTAGTGTAAACAAAAACTTTGAAGGTAGGAGGAGGGTGCCACCTACTGAGAAAATGAAGAATAACAGCATGGTGAAAGCTTTCAAGGTTCCCACTTTAAAATTGTTCTTAGGAGGTCTTACTTAATTTCTTGCTCTTTCCACCACCTTCTTTAGTAAGTATTTTTTCTAGAATATTTTAAAATAATTAATATTTTTTAAAACTTTACATCTCCTTAATATGCCGTTTGTAAATATGTATCACACTTTGTTCATATTTTTCTCGAAATTTGGAAAGTGTTTCATCTAAATGTCTTTAATTAAAATGTTAAAAGTAAAAATTAATGGACAACACAGCTCCAAATCTAAACTGCTATTTATTAACAGTGCACAATTCTAACAATGTGCATTTAAGTGCAGAGTCAGAGCTTTTAGGTTATCACCAACATCACACAGGTGCAGGAAATCACTAGCTCGGAAGAATGTATTGTCAGTCTGGACAGAAAAATAAAGAATACCCCCTAAAACCCACTCTAGTTCCTCTGAGCATAGCATGAGCAATACTCTATAAATTGCCTGACGTATTTTCTCAAGATCCTTCCTTGTGCACAGAGATTTAGTTATTATTCAGCTAGGGGCTGAACCCAACACACAGAATTGGTTCTGTGGCATTCCTGGTGAGTTCCCCTGAAATCTCAAACAGGAAGACAAAATAGCATTTATTGAACACTATAAGCCCGTCACTGAACTTTTTTTTACCTTACACATGTTGTATCATTTAATCACACAACTATATGAAGTAAGTTTTATATCAAAATTAATGATAAAGAGGCTCAAAGAAACTGGAGAAAAGGACCCCACCTCATACCAGGAGTACAACATTGAAATTCCAAGGCCAAGCTTGACTCCTTTCCCCATTTTCCTAAACTCCTTCATAAGGGAAAAACAGACAATCTAGCTAAGGGGAAAACACAGTGGGTCACATCAAAAGAGAAGCTCTCAAACATTGGTTGTGGATATAGAGGTAAGTGGGTCTGCATCAATTGAACCTCTTTGCAATATCTATAACGTAGTGATTTTTAATGGGTTTGCATTGTAATGAGGTCCAAAAGGTAAAGAACTCCAGTTAAATAGGTTTATCTAAGGTTTCATGCAGAATTTTCTTGGGGCACAGCTAACATCCCAGTGAATACCAGTTAGGAAACGTTTCCCTGGCCAGGAAGCAGCCATTGATGGGTTTTAAGCAGGGAAACAACATGGTTCGATTAACACACTTGACACAGAATTCTGGCAGCAGGGTCTGGGGAGCGGTAGAGGCTATATTTGAATGGAAGCCAGGAGCTGAAGTGGAGTTATCTGGGGGGATAGAGATGGAGAGAGAGGGACAAAGTGGAGAAATATTTAAGAAATAGAATCAACTGGACTTGGAGATGAATCAGATATAGGAGAGAAATAAATATTGAATAACCCACAAAGTTGTTGTTTGGGTTCTTAGGTAAATATTAAACCACAGGAGATAGAGAAATTGGTTTAACTTTTAAAATCCTGTGCTTTGAAGATTTATTTATCAGTAAACTTTTTATTTCTGAGCTATTTCACAGAACTGGTGTTCTATAAAACACACTTTCAGAAACTGCTGTAGGAATATCAGAGAGGCAACTGGCCCAGACACACTGCATGATATCATCCAACTTCTATGGGGAAAATCCTAAGAAAAATTTTAGCTCGTGGTTCCAGTGGGGAGAGAAGGAGGAAGCAGGGAGCGGGGCGGCTGGGGGGGGGG